TGCACTGGATATTTGTGCTGCTGGAACACACTCCCTTTAGAGTTTCAAGTGGCTTTCTGTTCAAAGGTCACCTCCCCAGAAAAGCCTTCCTGGATCATCCTGTCTAAAATAGGTCCCCTCTCCCCACCCAGGTCACAATCACGTCAAATCCATTTATTTTCTTTATATCGGTCGTTAGTACCTATTTACACTGAGCACTTCATGTGAGTTGGAAACTGTTTAAGTAATAAATGTCAGAAAAATCAATTAATTAATTGTCGAATTAATGAAGAATGCAGTTGGTTTGGTGGACAGAATCTCTTATAAGCATCCAGAGCTTAGAAAAAACAAGTAACCAAGTAAGCCATCTCTAGGGGTCCTCCCAGTTATTAATAATAATATAATAATTATAATATGAACTTCAAGTCTTTCTGTAAATCCCATTTTGCACTTGTTCCTCCCTAGCTAGAAATATTTGTCTCTCTCTAGAGTACAGTTCACACGTCTCATGCCAGCATTCAAGGCCCTTCTTACCTGGCCCAGTCCACCTCCCCAGGGTACTTCCTTCCTCTCCTTCACAGATTGTTGATTTGCTCTCTGCATTGCTCCCTGAACATTCCAGAACAGTCCCACCTCCATGCCTTTGCTTGGGCCACTCCCTTTGCCATTACACAAATGGCATTTGCATATTTATTTATTTGGATGAAGAACCATTAGGTAATTTGCTGTTGATGAAAATTTATGAGCACCAATTATACATCCACAATGCAATATATGGGTAAACAAAGTACTGATTCTCTCCCATTAGGAGGTACTAGCAGAAGAACACAAATGACTCTAATTCAAAGTAGTCAGGATGTCGTGTCCTAAGGAAAAAAATATGCTGTGGAATATGCCCTAAGAAAGGAGAATGCTTCTCAGGAGACTAGGTACCTGAGAATTTAAAAAATGGAGAATGCTGTGGAAATGTGGGGGAGGAAAATATGTATGTTCTATCCACGAATATAGTACATATTTCTATTACTTAGGTCATCTTTAATATTAGTCTTTCAATAATGCTCTATATTTTTCTCCTTTTACGTGTTGCTTTTTTATTTCTAGGTATCCAATCTGCTTTTATTCTTCGCAAGTGTTTAATTATATTTTCTAAATGTTCCTGGTATGTAAAATGCAATTTATTTTTGTATTCTGATTTTTGCACCCAGCTATCTTCCAAACATTCTTATTTTTCTAATGATGTGACTACATGTTCTTTTGGATTTCTATGTAGACAATCACATATGTAAATAATAGCAGTTTTATTTCTTCCATTTCCATCCTAACACCTTTAACTTATTTTTCAAGTCTTCCTGTGCAGGCCATGGCCTTTTAATCTTATTCCTGATTTTAAAGGCATGCTTCCAACATTTCTCCTTCATGAATGATGTTTTCACTATTTAACAGAGAGATCAAAGTTAATAGTCAAGGGACAAACTGACATTGCATGTCCTATGATATAATGACCTAAGAAGTATATACCACCATTCATGTAATATTCTTGCCAAAAATACACAAATGAGTCTAATCACGAGGAAACGATTTGATAAATCCAAATTTAGAAACATTCTTCCAGTTATTAATAATAATATAATAATTATAATTATATTCTACAAAACAACTGGCTTTTGTTCCTTAAAAATGTTAATAACACAAAATAAAGAAGACTAAGAGATATGACAACTAAATGCAATGTGTGGTCCTGAAATGGATTCTAGATCAGAAAAAAAAATTTCTATTATAAAGGACATTATTTATTGGGACAATTGGTGTAATTTGAATTTGGGTTGTACATTATAATTAGCATGGTATTAATGTTAAATTTCCAGAATGTGGTTATATAAGAGAATGTCTTGTTCTTAGAAAATACAGACTGAAGCACAGTATTTAGGGGTGAAGGGTCATATCTATAACTTCTCTCTGCTTCGAAACACATATACACAGCGATAAAATGCAAATCTAGTAAAATATTACTAACTGGTGAAGGATAATCAGTTCATTTAAGTATCTTTGCAAATTTTGTAGGGTTGAAATTGTTTCAAAATAAAAAGTTTTAAAATGCTGTTTGCTGTAAATTAGTGAAGCTTCCTTCTATCCCTAGTTTGCTGAGATTTTTCTCATGGATGGGTAGTGAGCTTTATCAAATGCTCTTTCTGTATCTATGGACATGACCATAGATGGTTTTTCTTCTTTCACTCATTTGTGTGATGATTGAGCTTTATTGATTTACTAATATTAAACCGCCTTTAGTTCCTGGAATAAAGCCAACTTTGTCAAAATGTATCTTTTCTTATTCACTATTAGACTCTCTTTGCTAGTAATTTTGCATTCATCTTCATGAGTGAGACTGTTCTATATTTTTTCTTTCTTGTTCTGTCCTTGACTAGTTTTGGTATTGAGGTTGCACTGGTCTCACAGAACAAGGGAGGGAAGTCTTTTTTTCCTATTCTTGGAAGAGTGTGTAAAAGGTTAGAAGACTCTGTTCCTTAAAAGTTTTGTAGGACTTACCTGTAAAACCATCTAGGCCTGGAGTCTTTCTTATGTGTATGTATATTTAAAATATAACAAACATGCAATAAAGTGCAAAGTATGTAAATTATCAGCTTAATTCATTGTTGGAAAATAAATTACCCACGATTGCTACACTACCAGGCTGAGACACGAACCATTACCAGCACATGGGAGGCGCCCCATGAGATACTTTCTAATCAAAACCCTCGCCCTCCCCTAAGGGTAACTATTATCCTGAGTTTCCTGGCACTCTCTTCTTTGCTTTTCTTTAAAATTTTACTACTTAATTATGCAACCATTAAAGTAGAGTTTAATGTAGCCCGTTTTTTATTTTAGGTAAAATGAATGATACAGTTTATAATTTCTTCAGCTTATTTCACTCAACATTATCTTTATGATTCAACCATATTGTTGTATGTATATACACTTTGTTTCTTTTCATGGTTGTATATATTCAATAGAATATATATAATTTATTTGTGACACTCTTGGACATATGGGTTTTTCCGGTTTTGCAATAGTATGAACAATGCTCCTATGCATATTCTCATACTTCGGTGCACATAAGCACACGATTCTGCATGGCATAGGAGTGGAATTGCTGGGTCATAGGTATGTGTATTTTCCTCCTTTTTCCAAAACAGGCGTGTCAGTTTCCACTCCCATCGGAAGGGTCTGATAGTTTGCATGGCTGCATGTCCTTGCCATCATTTACTACCGTCAGACATTCCCATTTTTTGATGATCTGTTGTTTGATGATCTGTTTGATTTCACTGGTTTACTAATGAAGTTGAGTACTTTCTCAAATGTTTATCAGCCATTTGGATTTTCTCTGCTATGAAGAGCTAGTTTAGTTTTTTGGTCCATTTTATACATTCAAGAAATGAATCTTTTGTCAAGTCTATTATATCCTTTCCCACTCTATAGCTTGCCTTTTCCTTCTGCTATTTTCTTTAAGGAAATTTCTATTGCTCAATTTTTAACGTAGTTACAAGATTACTCACGATTTCTATTTCTACTTGAATCAGTATTGACAAGTTATATTTTTAAAGGGATTTCCCCATATTGTCAACATTTTCAAATTTATCGGCATACAATTGCTCATAACAGTGAATTACGAGATTTTAAAGCTCTGCGGCTATATTGTCTTTCTTGTTCCTGATGTCATTTGTTCCTTCTCTCTTTTATTCTTGACCAGTCTCTCCAGGGCCTTGTCTATCAGTCTTTTCTAAGACCCAAATTTTGGCTTTTTTGATCTTTTCTAATGTATCTTTATATCCTCTTTCATTGATTTCTGCTTTTTATTATCTTCTTCCTCAAACTTTCTTTGGATTTACTCTGTTCTTTTTATAACTCCTTAGGTTAAATATTTAGCCACGAATTTTCAGCCTTTCTTTTCTTCTAATATAAGCATTAGTGCTGTACATTTCCCTTGAAGTACTACTTTCTCATAAATTTTGGATGTGTTTCATTATCATTTACTTTCAAGTATTAATATTTTCAAATTTCTAGTTAGATTTCATCTTTGACCAATCAGTTATTTAGAAATATGTTTTAAAATTTCCAAATGGATGGGAATTTAACATTTATCTTTTGTTATTAATTTCTAACTCAATTGTATTATGATCAAAAAGCCTGGTCTGTGAGATTCTAACCTATATTTATGATTTTAACTTCAAAAGTCCTCTGGAGGTCTAAGTCTGCTATTTGTTGTTTCAACTGACTCTTACTCATGGCGGTGTATGAGCTTGGTGATCTTTGAGAAGTCACACTTCCCTGACCCTAATCTGTGGGCGTCCTGTCCACACTGCTTTCCTATGGAGAGCCTTCTTATCTGCTTCTGCTATGAACCAGGGGCACTGCCAACCCAGGGTCTGCCCCTTCAGGTGTTCTGCCTTAAGGCAGAGACTCAGGGTTGATATTCTGAAAAGATCTGCTGCTAGGTTGATCTATATGAAACTGTCTCTTTCTGAGGGCCTAAAACCATATGGACAATTGTATATGGTCCACCCTATACTCTAACATTTGCCCCAGGACAATCCTGTTCTCCTGTTTGCTTACTGCTTACCTCTCCTGGCTAGTTTTGGCTCAATGTCCCTTTGTCTTTTGTTTTGGGTGGGGGAGGTGGCTTTGGAGATTTCCCCAATTTGCTATGAGCCCAGCAAAGCGTTAGAAATTATATTTCACTCAGGAGTGAATTAATTTGCAGAATTATTTTGCAGAGAGGAGTGGAGGTGTTGGAGTATCTAGGCCAACCTCCAGAGGCTAAAATCCCAGGTTAGGTATATTTTTCCCAGGTAGGAAACCAAAGCGCAAAGAAGTGAAATGACTTACCCAAGGTCACACAGCTAGTAATCGGCAGGGCTGGACTTGAATCACACAGGGCACTAGAAACTCAGGTCTTTATACTTTCTGTCTGTCCTGTGCTGCCTCTAGAGAGCTGTTTGGGCCTGGGGGTGACCAGGGGTCCTTACCTGGTGCAGGGGGATGACGAGGAAGGCCCCCCCGCCAGCACACTCAGTCACGACTGCAATGAAGCGGGGGTTCACGGCACAGAAGTGGTTGTCGTGAACGCTGCGGGTGATGGGCACCGAGTCGTAGCAGTTCTCCTTGCTGGCTGGTTTGCCAAAGACGTGGCGGAACTTGGAGCTCCGGTACTGGGGGTGCCATGACATCTGCGGGAGACAGGCAGGACACAAGGTGTGAGGCTCACTGCCCTGATCTTGAGACACACGGAGATCCCAGCTTGAGAGCCCAGAAGAGGGCACAAGCAGGACAGCCGTCCGCTCCACACGGACAGTGAGTGCAATGAAGGGCGACCGAGTGAACAGCTATAATTGTGGCTATTTCTACAGACCCAGTGAGGCAAGGTGGGATGGTGCGTGAACACCACTGACCTGTTTGCTGATGTTTAAGGCTTTTCATCCCTTTGAGAGTGAACACGGAAAGGCAGAAAATCCACAGAGAGAACTCACCACATTCCCCCCGCTGCCCACCCCGCCAGCTCACCAAGCAGCCCCAGGTCCTGGCTCCCCGACCCCGACTAAGCAGGTAGCGGTGTGTTCTCTGGAGCCGGCCTGCCTGGGCTCTAGTGCCGGCATTGTCTTACCAGCTGGATGGCAAGTGACTTAAGCTCTGGAGTCTCAGTTTTCTTGACTGTAAAATGAGATTACAAAAGTATCTGTCTCACGGACTTGTCATGAGGACTAAATGAGATATATTTAGACCCCTGGGCGCTCGGTAGATACTTGATGGACAGGTGCAATCACTGCCACTATCACTACTAGCATCCAGGCACCTTGGGCTTCCTTTGCTCCTCGTCCAGCCTCCTGTTTGTTCACTCAATATTTACTGAGAGTCACTGTGTGTCTGGGCCCCGTGCCAGGCCCCGGGGAGCTGGGAAACTGTAAAGCCACACCCAGCCCTTACAGGAGCAGAGAGTACTGTGGGCGAGGCTACGGGGGGAGTCTGGGAGGGCTTCCCAGAGGAAGTGACACTTAAGCTGTGATTTGAAGGATGAACAGGAGTTGGCCATGGAGGCAGGACAAAGGAGGGCTGAAGGAAGGTGTCCCGGGCAGATGGAACAGCCTGAGCAAAGGGCCTGAGACAGAAGCGAATACGGATTATTTGGGAGCCACGTGTGGTTTGGTAAGATTAGCAAGGAGATATTAAAAAGGAAAAAAAAAAAAAAAATATATATATATATATATCACACACACACATGTAAACTGGGTGACGTGAGTGAGGAGAATGCCAGCCAGAGGCATGAGTAGGGCCAGATCATGAATGACCTACGAAAGGGTCGAGGCCTCACTGGTGGCCAAACACATGACAGCACAGGGCACACCTGGCTGTGTTCCTCACCCTTGCCCCACCTCCCTTCACCCTGTGATGCTCCCAGTCGCCCTGCCCTACAGGATCAAGGCCAGTCCTCGGCCTGGCATTCAAGGCCTCTGGCTGGGTCTTTCTCCGTATTCCAGGATCCATGTCTTCCTGCTCACCTACACGGTACCTTCCGGTCTCCCCGGTGCCTGTGCTTGCGTCTCCAGTCCTCTGGCTCTTTGCCTTTGCCTTTCCCGCTGCTTGGCTTGCCCTTCCCATCCCTCTGCCTCCTGTTCCTGGCTCCACAAATCCAAATCCTCCCCTTCCCCAGCCCCCAAGCCACTTCCTCCAGAGAGTCCTCCTTGATACCCTGAGTAGCAGAGATGTCACTCTCCTCCCTGCCCTCAGCCCCTGACACTGGCTACCCTGATTTAGGGTCTGGTGTCAGTTCTCATCTTCTCCACCGGCTTTCAGGTTCCCTGGAGAGGCCTGGGGACCTGCTCTGGGAGGGCCCAGCACATGTCTGTCCACTCCAGGCCCCCAGAACTACCCATGGGAAGGCGTGTTTGGCCGGGCCCCACACTGGTCAAGACAAAGAAGGTGCCTGCTCTGCCTGGGCGGCTGGCCAGTGAGGCTCTTCTCTGTGCTCAGTTCCTAGGGACGAGACTGGGCTGTGTGATCGCAGGCAGGTCACAGGATCGAGGCCTGACCCCTAAGCCAAGCCCTGCGCACAGCACCAGGTAGTGCATCAGCCCTGCAGGGGCACGTTTATCCTGTGAAGCTCAGAAATTTCAACTCTCCTTTTGGGAGCTTTGCCCAAAATCCTGGCTGCATTTGCCAGAGCTACAGGAAATAGCACAGAATGCAGGGATGGAGTGACTAATTAATGCCCATCCGATCCCACAAAAGATTTAAGAAGACTTACAAAAATTGAGAGGACACAAGGTAGAAGGAAATAATGGAAAAGCCACAGCCAAAGAAATAGGAACAGAGGGAAAATGCAGGTAAAAAGAGATCACTTGATTTGAGGTGGGGGTAGGGGGAGTTAGGCTACTGAGCGTGGGCTGCCAGGTCCTCCACACAGGGGAGGTGAGGTAAACCTCAGATTTGTTTCCAAGCTTCCTAGTGGCCAATGCGACAAGGGAAACAGATCAGAAAGGGATTTAGTCAGTGTTTGTAAGATAAAAGCCACCAGTTGCTAAGGAGCAGCACAGCTTTTCTCCATACTGGGTCCTAGGAGAAGTGGGTACTGGGGGTCCTCTCGGAAAGGAGCAGCAAGGACAATGACCTCCGTAGGGTCTTGGCAAGTAGGTGGCAGCTGAGGAGCTGCCTTGGGCCTGTGAAGGGGGTGGGAAAGTAGGGAGCAAGTCAGCAGGCTCCGCTCCAGGCCCCGTCCCCTCAACCTGAGCAGGTGTGGGAAGCGCACCTGTCTGAGGCAGACGGGGATGCTCATCAGACACTCCATGGCTTCCCTCAGGCCCAGCCCCTGGCAGGTAGGCAGCCACAGCATTAGTTCCGGCCGAAGGACCATGGGAGGCAGCGATGTGTGTCACTGCCAGGCCGAAGCATGTCAGACCTGCCCGTGACCCTCTGGAACTCTCCTCCTTGGCTGAAAGGACGAGGAGGGCACACGTTTCAGATGGTGCAGACAGCGGGTCCCCGAGGGACTGTGTGGAGCCGAGCACCTCCCTCGACTAACATACGGTGTCACAGAGGAGGGGAACCGCTGAGATAGGGGCTGTTCGTCACGGAGCACAGCCTGCCCATCCTGCCTCACACACTGCTCCATGCAGGTCCGGCCCCTGCAGAGGGCATGCGGCTGCCTGTGCTGGGTGTGGCCAGAGAGAGGGAAGCAGGACCCAGATCCCCTCAGGAACTTGGACTCCGAGGGCAACTGGGAGCGGCCGAGGGTAAAGCAGGGGAGTGAGAGGATCAGATGCAACTTTCGGATGGATTCCTCTGCCTACTGAGCGGAGGAACGGTCACCTGGGCTGAAGTCGGGCAGCGACGTGGGAGGGTGGGGGAATGTCAGTGAAATACCAAGGAGGTGGGATCAGCCAGGGGAGGGGCCTGAGTGCACGCGGTGGGCTGTGGGGCGAGGGGCCAGGCATGGGCGCGCAGCAGTCCCACCATCCAGAATCCCAGCCCCTCTGGGTCCTCCCAGCACTCTCCCTCCACAGCCCGTCTGTGCATCTGACACCTGAGGGCCAGCTCCCCGCCCAGGAGGGGTCCGGCAGCCATGAGAGGCCCGGCGACAACCCTGCTGGAGGGCACAGTCACCTCCACTGCAATAGGAACTCACGGTGTTTGAGTGCTCACGGTGGGCCAGGCACCACTCCAGTGCTCTCCATGTAGGAACACAGCAGGTGGGTGCTACCTTGCTCCCCACAGCCGATGCAGGGACAAAAGGCAAGGAACTGGGTCCCACAGCTAGTAAACGGGAGGCCTAGGGCTGAGCCTCCGCGGCAGGTTCCCAGAGATCATCACCAGATGACAACAGCCATCACAGCCACCACAGCCCCTGCGGGGAAGCATCATGACCATTATCACCCCCACTTTACAGGGAAGGAAAATGAGCCCCAGGAAGCTAAATGCACCCCTCTGGAAAGGGGGCCCATGGATGAAGCCATTTGGCCTTGAAGCAGCACAAACATCAATGCTTTCTGCCCCACCGCAGCCCTTATCTCTGCTGCCAAGGCTCTTCCAGACCTGCCGCCAAGGGAGGAAAGTTACAGAAGTGGGGGATGGGCCGGCCGTCGCTCCCTGTGGGCGCAGTATGGGAGTGTGCGCAGATGCACGGGCGAACCTTGTGTACGTGTGTTGGCCCACGTGTGCACTGTGCCTGCACATCTGAGTGTGAGCACTGCATTCATCAGGACATTCATGAGGGCCGTGTCCCCTCGTGGGTGTGCATGTATGTTTGGGTGTTTACCGGAGGCCGCATATGTACATGCGCATGAGCGCATGTGTGTATTGGTGCATGCGTGACTTTGATGACTCAGCAATTCAGAGAACAGGAGTTTCATTTTCCCTACAGGAAGGCACTTGCCTGCAGGTTCCTCTCCCAGGGGCGGGGACAGAATGTCCCTGATCCGAGCCAGGTCTATCCCAGGCCACCAGTCCCATCCTGCCCCATCCCATCTGGCTGGGCCCACATCAAAGCCACAGCAGGCCTTCTCGGGGTGGCACTCTGGGCCAGCCTGCTGGGGCACAAAGCAGGGGGTGGCATCGGTTCTGCTGCTGGGATCCCATGCATGCTTAACGGGCCTGACGCCATGGGATTAGGCTCCTGGGACTGTGATTTCCCACCCCCGAAAAGAATGAAGTCATCTCTGGGTTTAGCACCACATTGAGTTTATTTCTTAATGCCTGACAGTGGCTTGCTGCCTGTGCCTTACAACTCTCCTGTGGGGTAGGTGGGGATTATTGTCCCCATTTGATGATGGGAAAACTGAGGTGCAGGGGAAGCGACTTGACTATTAATTATTAATAGTATGAGCAGTGCAGGTGGGAAGGAGAGGCTGAGCCTTGACTCAAAGACCACCCTTTCTGCTATGCCACATGCTCCTCTCTGATATACATGTGTGTTGCTGTTGTTGTGTGTGTGTGTATGTCTGTGTGTGTGTGTGTGTGTGAAAGAGAGAAAGAGACAGAGGCAGATATTTTCCTGTCTGCTCCCAAAGATCCCTCTTCCTTGTCCAGCCCTAAAATCATTGCAGGACAAGGGTTAGCTGCAGGGTGACCATATAGATTATTCATTAATCGCACTGTTTGTGGCCTCAGGGAAAGAGTGAAACTACCTCAGTTGGTCTTTGAACAGGGAAGGGTAGGAATTTGGCGCTAACAGCTTACC